GATCAATAAAGTATATATATATATATATATAGGCTACTGTGTATTGTTTTTCGGCTGATGTAAGGTGCATTGCTCCTGTGGGTGATCAATAAAGTTCTTATCTTAGCCATCTGAGAAGATCAAATACATTGTTTTTGGTGCCTAACTGTTTCCCAAGTATATTAGTGTGTGTGTGTGTCTGTGTGAATGAATAAACGAGAAGCATTAACGTGAATTTCTTTGAAGAAAGGCGCTTTATGAAATTAAGTCCATTCACTTGTATTAGTTTACAGTGCAGCCTTGCCACATCCAATATGGCGGCGACGTTGACGTACGGCTCAGCGCTCGATGCGGCGTCTATGTATATATGGCTATGTTGGGGACCTATTTGACCGACGCACAAATCTACGTCACTTCCTTAAACACGGACTTTAAACGTTACTGATTAAAAAATTAAATCTATCTATTTGAATAATAGTTAATACTAAATTACACGTAGCAAATACATGATAAAGAAAAAAACTATGAGATTAAATCGATGAAATAGGAGTTTCATTTTTTAAAAGCCTCGCTGTGGGCTGGATTTGTCAGTGTGACGTCTCCGTGTCACCACCTCCTCCTCCTCCTCCTCCAGCCCTGCGTTGGGCCGTGCGGTGGATGGGAGGCGGGGGGAGTGTGTGTGGGGATGGTGGGCCGGGGTATCGCGTCTCTCGACTCGGCTCCTCGATATCTTGCTAGCATACAGACAGTCGCCTGCCCGCATCCAGTATGGATTGTTTACAGGAAGAATAAAAAATAGCGATCACCATCGTGGCAGCTGCTTCTGTTGGTAAATACGCATCATTCACAACCGCTGTTGTCATCGCTGCATTGAGCAGATGATTTCTGAGCTTTGGTAAACATAAGGCCTTTCAGCTGTTTGACTGTGTGGTATATGTCGGGGGTTATTGTAGGAAGATGATCTAAACAACACTGCGGATATATCTAACTTGTGTGCCCATTATCACCCAGAGGCGAGGTGCGTGTGATATCTTTTGTGTTTCTGTGTTGAGACATTAAAGCTAGCTGTAGCTACAGCAGCTTGTCATCTGAATCACCACAGTTTTGTTATTGCTGTATAATCAGCACACGTTCCCCTGAAGACAGCGAGTAACTATGGCAGAACAAGACATTTGTCCTCACCTGGACTCCATAGGAGAGGTAACCAAGGAGGACCTCCTCCAGAAATCCAAGGTGGGTGTTCATTCAGTTACTGGAGATGTTGTGCACAATGTCAAAGATGCCCAGTGTAGGTCACTGGCTGTGTGTGTGCCATGGCCTACACGACCCTTGAGGTTGTTACAGCAGCCTTGTACCATTGTAATAATAAGCACATTAGATGGAATATATGCTCTGTTATGTTGTCTTTATTTGGTACAGCACCCACAATGAAAAACATCCCTGCTTGCACCTGAGTGAACCATCATGTTTGTGTATTTCTAATATCTTATTCTATTCCTTTTTACTCTATTCTGTTCATGCTGCAGGGCACTTGCCAATCTTGTGGAGCAGGAGGCCCAAATCTGTGGGCCTGTCTGCAGGTAAGGTCCTTGAAAATCCTTTTTTAAAATGCTTTAAATCATATTCTTTTCATGGGTAATTGCTGCTTTAGCTTGTGCACCTTGTCACAAAAATGATGACTACTGCAGACACAACTACCACTGCATTTCAGATAAGGCGGCCAGGTGAATGCTTAATAATTGATGATGATGTAGAGCATAAATGTAATTATAAATGCAGTCGCTTTCAAACTCAGGCAGGCAAGCAAGCAAGTACACACTGTGTGCAGATAGAGCAATGATTTTAAACTCTGATTGACGTTTGACATTCTGGTATGAAATTAATTTATAAATTAAGCCAATTCAGATAGATAAACAGGAAGATATTATGATGTAATGTCTTTGCAAGTTAGAAGAGAAGAGTCAGCAGCCTGTCTAATACTGTGTCTCTGCTCTGTAGAGTGACTGTCCGTATGTTGGCTGTGGAGAGTCCTTCTCTGATCACAGCACCCTGCATGCACAGGTAAAACCCTCCCACACAAATATCTGTCAGTTGATCTTCTTGGTGGATGCTTATGAGAGGAAAAATGTCAAAACATAGCCTCTTAAATGACTGTGCCTGTGCTTTCTTTAGGCTAAGAAGCACAACCTGACTGTGAACCTGACGACGTTCAGGATCTGGTGTTATGTGTGTGAGCGAGAGGTATTTTTGGAGCACAGGCCTGCGCTGGTGCCCGTGCCTGCTGCTCCCCACCACTGTAAACCCACGGAGCAGGTGAGTCCTAGTGATGCTATTTCAAATTCACACACCGTGTTCCTTACTCACCTCCATATTTATAGTATCTTTTAATCATTTTCTTAGGAAGCAGCTCCTCAGCCAGTAGGTCACCCGCTAAAAGCAGTACCGATTGCTGTGGCAGAGGAAGAAGGTTCAGAGTCAGAGGAGGATGAGCTTAAACCCAGAGGTACAACATGTTTACTATAAACATTTACTCTCCCAAACAACAGTACACATTGGTCAGACAAAAATGGTTTTAATAATCTGTAAAGATAAGCTCCAAAAATCTCTTCTCTGATTATTAAAATCATTGTTGTACTTTTCTATTAGGCCATGGCTGCCATATTTAATAGATATAATTGCTTTGAGTCCCGAGAATAGATACTAGGCCTGTTTTGTTTTTTTTAAAATCCAGGCATGCATGGGTAGTTAACCCTTGGTGGTGTCCTCTCTTTTCTCTTCTAAAAATATACATCTACATTTCTCAGTTTGTACACTTTTTGCACTCTCAGAATACAAAAAAAACCTGCATGGCTTTTTTTTTGTTTGTAGGCTTGACAGGAATGAAAAATATCGGTAACTCCTGCTACATGAATGCAGCTCTCCAAGCCCTGTCCAACTGGTGAGGTCACGTCCTCCCATTACATTTGGTCCATTACAGGGGAGGTCTCTCCTTTTCTGTGTTAATCTGTTTTCCTTTAAACAGCTATGATGATGTCATTTCTTCCTCTCTTTCCTCACCAGTCCCCCTCTCACTCAGTTCTTCCTGGACTGCAGTGGATTGGTTCGGACTGAGAAGAAGCCTGCTCTCTGCAAGAGCTACCAGAAACTAATCTCAGAGCTCTGGCATAAAAAACGGTAATAAACACATAAAAAGTGACAAGTGACAGAATGTAGCCATAAGAGATTGTTATGTCCCAGTAAATCATGTACAGTGTGTTAAACTCACTCTCATTGCGACTACTTTTCCAGGCCCAGCTATGTTGTGCCTACCAGTCTGTCTCATGGCATCAAACTAGTAAACCCCATGTTTCGTGGTTACGCTCAGCAGGTAGGGGCAAGTACCCAGCAGGTAACTACACCTGGCATCACTCAACAGCTTGATACGATCTTGTCTTTGCTTTTAAACTGTGAATCCTTGTGTATTTTCCTCAAACATTCCCTGAAATTTACTGTTATTTTTGCCATTAACATTTGTTATTTAAGAGTAACTTCAGTATTTTTGTAAACCGGGACTCTTTTTTTATTTTCCCATGTTTTTGTGTCTAAGTGACTAATGAGACAACAATTTTTGAATTGGTCCAGTATGGATTGAGTGCTGCAGCTGGCAGCTGGGAAATAGGCTGCAATGTAACGTTAATGGGCAAATGTACACTGTCAGTCTGCCTACTTTCAGTTTAAGTAAAACAGAATTTGTGTACATACATACAAGTCAAAGCAAATCAACTATTCAAGATTTTCTTTAAAAGTTTCAACAAATTTGACAAGACCTTTACTTTTCGAGATGACATTAACTTTCGAAACTTATAAATATTTGGATTTGCTCTATAGAACTGTCCGACCAACTCTCTTCTCTCTTCATCGAAAAAAGAACACACAAGTACATAATGACATTCGTCTCCTCGATTGCCAGTCAGACAAAGAGTACATTTCCGGGGGACATTTTCAAGATCATACCTGCGCTCAGAGATAGGTAACTTATGATTTGAAAGTGCTTTTTTTGCCACTGACAGGCTCTGACAACATTATGGAAAGGATCCCTGCAGAGGTTGACCTTTTTTTTAAGTGTCAAATCCTTTTTGTTTAACCAGAAACAGCCCTGAATTCACTATCCCCAAAACCACCAGACTCCATTTAAATAAACAGTAATTTTATCATCGTAAAAGTTTTGCATCAATTCAAAGTTGACGGAATCAAAATAAAACACACAAAACCTGTCTTGGTTCACCTCTCCACTGTTCCAACTCTGGTTTGGTTGGAATAAACTCTTAACTCACTCAGTTCGATGTGAAAATATGCTGGCTCTATACATGCTTAAATTACTCTCACTTTAAATGGAGTCTGGTGGGTTTGGCGATGAAGATGTCGCAGCTGATTCTAGTGAACAAAAAGGATCTTACCCTTTACCAAAAGGGTCTGTCGCCATAGGGATCCTTTCCAGTGTTGTCAGACACTTAATGTGAGCACATCAGTGGCAAAAGCAAGCACTTTAAGTGGATGCAAATTGACGATGTGTAATTGCCCCGAGTGGTTACAGAGCAGCTTGTTTTGCTGCTGTCGAGGTGTTGCTCAAAACTGGACAAATTTCAAGAATTGTTGATCCCATTTGTCATTAGACACAGAAACATGAGAAAATGGGATCCAGGTTGAAAAATACAGAGGCTTGACTTGAGTTGTTAACTTGCTTGATCGTTCAGTTTTTGGGGGGAACTTTGTATTTGTCTAACATCCCCAGAACCAGACAAAGTCATAGATGTATTGTTTTGTCTCTCTGTGGAAAACAGTAGAGAGTAACTAAGGGAGAGGATAGGTATCATTTAAATTCTTTGCTAATCATGACATTAGGGACTTTATAAATGCTTAAACTACAATGTGTACTTTTGTCAATCCAACAAAACCTCTTAGAGAGGTTTGATAGTGTATTTCTTCAAAGAATACCTTGCCATTTTAGGAAATGCACTTTTTTTGCTTCCATGCAGAGAAGCAGTCGGCTCAGCTTAGCACAGCAGGGAAAACAGCAAGCCACAACCTATAATTTTTATACTTCAGTTTTCATGCAAATTAAACTCAAGATATAAAGTGTTAATTAGTGAGCTTTAGATGTGCTAGTAGGGTGGATGTTGTCACTGTCAGACAGTGCCAGACTAGCTGTTCCTTGTTTCCTGTTTATGCTGTTCAAAGCTAACTGTATCCTGGCTGTAGCTTTTTATTTTGCACACAACAATAAGAGTGGTATCGATCTTCTCATTTAAGCCTCGGCAATAAAACAAATAAGCATATTTCACAAACTGTCAAACTATTCTTCTAACTTTAGAGAGGCTACTTGATCCAATAGACTTCCAGCACGTGCTAAGACAGGCTAAACTCATATGTCAACATACCTTCAAACTGCATGTCGACCTGTGACTGCATAACTCTTCTTCTCGGAAGAAAAACTAAATTACTCCTTGAATACACAAACACACAACTCAAATCAAACCTTTGTGTTTGTCTGTTTCTTTGTCAGACACTGAATTTTTTATTTAACCAGTTAAAAAAATGTTTCATTCTTAGTGCATGTTTGATTGGAAGAGTCTGGCTTTGTTTGATCGTGATTGTGATTTAAAAATGTTTTTTAATAGAAATGAGTTTTGCCTGTCTGTTGTGGGTATGATTATGTCGTCCTTGTGCCGCTTCTTACCAATATACAAACTGCTCTCTTGTTGCAAATAAGACAAACACCATTAACTACACGTTTCACTGTCCATCCACTTGTTTCGAAACAGTTCTCCACAAAACTCCCTTCTGTGTCTGTAGCCGCACTCATGCCTCCTCCTTTTGAGTGAGTGTAATGTGCTTTATCTGCTCCAGGACACTCAGGAGTTCCTGCGCTGTCTGATGGACCAGTTACATGAAGAGCTAAAGGAGCCTCTGACAGAGTGCAGCATGAGCGGGGAGGGAAGTGATGGTGAAGAGATAAGAGATGGGGACCGCTCCCCATCCGAGGACGAATTCCTATCCTGCGACTCTGGCAGTGACCGTGGGGAGGGAGGAGGAGCGGGTGACAGTGAGCTGCTCCTGCAGGATGAGTGTGACGGGGTCAGGTCACCGACAGGAGGGATAGTGGGTGTCAATACCGGCGGGGTGATCTCGGAGAAGGAGAGGCTGAAGGAAAGGAGGGTGTCTGGCTCACCCTTTCGTGGAGGCTCGCAAGAGATGGATGAGGATGCTGATGTGGATACAGCAGCTGAGGAGGGGGCTCCTGAGAGGGGGGAGGAAGAGGAGGCGATGCCAACCGCAAACACTGAGGTCCAAAGCCAAGAGAATAACCAGTTATCTGATACTGGGCAAGGGCAAAGCCAGAGCAACAACACCTCAGGTATAAAGCCTGCAGTACAACTTAAAAAAATATTTTAAATCCCTAGCTTGTGGATCATTTATCTCTAACCTGTCAATTCTGTGCGTTCAATGTGCTGTTTTCTAGAGCCAGACAATGAAGCGTCAATGCCCCAGCCCCAGTCCACTCCCTGCAGTCCTGTGCGAACCATTCAGGAGCTGCATCCAAAACTGTCCTCCAGTCAACCTCGCTCCAGTCCCCTCCGCTCTGCAGGACCTGCGTACACCTTCAAAAAAGGTAAGAAAACATCCCAAAGTTCAGACGTTACGCTGCTCATTCAAAACGCTTCTTCATTTCTACTGACTCCTGAAATTCACAGTACATTTGCAGTGTTATATGAGAGTTATTAAGGCCACATTAAGAGCCGTGAGAGATTTTGTTTGATTGAATTAAGGAAATCAAGTCATCAGATGTGAGGTGCCTTTTTCGTTTTGTGTGAATCTGATGAATTAGAGAGGGTTTTTAATGTTTTATACAGCAGGCCTCTTTTTCACCTTTAGATTTGCAGTCCTTTAGGTTAAGCAAAGCATTGCTGCATTAAAGGGATGGTTCTAATCTTTTTAAGTGGCGCTGTATGAGGTACTTACTCATAGTCATTATATTTCTGACGGAAAGCCGTTAACAGCTTCAGGTTGCCAACTATACTTTCATCAAAGCCACCAGACTCCATTGACAAAAGCAGTATTTTTAGCTTGCTGAACACTGGAGCTGCTGGTCTACCGCTGCCTCTATCACTTAGTTTGTGTAATTTTGTGACTTTGGTGAATCCACAAACCCAGTTAAACACCAAAGTCATGCAATACACAAACTGATGGAGGCAGTGGTAGACCAGCAGCTCCTGCTATTCAGTGATGTTCAATTACTGGCTTTGAAGAGAGTGATATAACAGCTTCAGTTCCCTGTTGGAAATAGCTGTCTGACAGCAAGGTAAAGAGATGAAATCATTTTCTAAATATAGCATACACTTAGAACTAACATTTGTATGGGACGTTCTTAGGTGGCTAAAATACGTTCTGCTGCTGCCTCCATCAGCACCAGTACATTGCTTAGCCTCTGTGTCGGTACGCCTCCTACATACAAACTGGGAGCGCGCCGACTGCCATCTACAGTGTGTAATACACTGACTATGGATAAGTACCTCATATAACTCCACTTCATATAATCCAACCTATCCCTTTAAGGTGCCAGGTCTGTAAATCACAGTGTTGATGTTTGTTTGTTTTTTAACCAATCCTTCCTTCATTTTCAGACTTACCAGCAGCATATGGGTAAATCTTATTCTACTTTTGGTATAAATGCAGCTGACGGTGGTGGTCTTCTGATTGCCACAATATACACGGACATTTCCTTGCTTGCTTTTCCCTCATCCACACACAGTATTGCAGGTTGCACTGATTAAGGTAGTTTTGTCAGTCAAAAAATATCAGCAATATTAAGTTTGTCATTGAATATCCTCCCTGCTGTCATGAATCTTCCAGCTCAGCTGCTGCTCAGTGCCAGGAAGAAGAAACAGTCTCACTATCGCAGTGTGATCTCGGACATCTTCGACGGCTCCATCCTCAGTCTGGTCCAGTGTTTAACCTGTGACAGGGTGAGTTGTGCTTCACGTGTTTAAACACCAGGGGGAGCTACATATTTAGTCAGAAACCACAGTATATTTACTTGATAAATAATATTTTTTGTTGAGATAAAAGTATGTCCTTTGTAATGGTGTCTTTTGAGTATTTTTCATTTTTAGAATGAATATAATGCATGAATGAAAATTTTAATTGATGACACATTTTAAACCTTCATTTGCTGAGATTATTTGGTTTGTATTTCATCACATATGGCTTTTTGGAAACACTGATGTCAAAGGTTAATTGTAATCTGAAATAACTTATCCATCACAGTTGATTTTTTTGTATAAGCATTTATTATATTATTATATAAGTACATTGTTTAAAGCTCTACTCTTACTGGTGGAGACATGCTGTGTAAACCAGTTCTCTGAATGTGTGACAGGTCTCTACAACAGTAGAAACCTTCCAAGACTTGTCTCTCCCTATTCCTGGTAAAGAGGACTTGGCAAAGCTCCACTCTTCCATACATCAGAACCTTCCAGTCAAGACAGGCGTGTGTCCCGACACTTACAGCTCACAGGGGTGGATCTCCTACATCATGGACTCCATACGCCGGTCAGTGGACCATGTTTAACTGTCAAAACAGAGGGAGGAGTTTGCGTGTTTGAACGCATGAATTCAGCAAAATCCAATCTATCTAGTATCTGATTGCACACTAATATCGTGAGGTTATTGGAATTATTTAATGAGGCATGCTTCTGCAGTGAGGTTTCTTTTTTAACCTGGCATTTTGATGTAAACAGATAAGCTGAACACGATATGACTTCCTGAGTTCCTTTCGGAGAAAGAAGGCAAGTGGAGTCATGAGTTGTTTATTCAGAAAGTCATGCTCACTTAATTTCTTATGAAAATCCACATCATCTCTGAAAATCACCAACAACCACGGGGAGGATGCCAAGGAGAGTGTTAGGTGGGGATTTGGCTCCAGTGAAGTCTCTTTTCAGTAAACTGCACTGTATGTGGTTTTGAAGGCCACAGATGACACAGGTGAAGGCATGCAAGTATCAGTGGGCTGTGCTAGATCTGTCAAGGCAATGTTTATGTCCTTGTTGTTTGCTGCACATACATGAGCTGGCTCAACAAAGCCCCAAGCCTCAGTCAGAGATAACAGGTACCACCAAGGTAGTTAGCAACTTTTATGGTTAACCCAAGCTTCCCTCTTCAGAGTCTGTGCACATTTCTATATAACAAGTCAAATGACACGTTCAGCACGCCATTTGAGTCTTAAAAGTGATTGATCTCGTACTGCCTACTATCACCTTTGAAGAATATCAAAAACGTTTTACAGCAAAAACCAACACTGTTGCTTCAATTAAAGAATCAGCGTGTAAGTTTTGGGGGCATTTAGTAGCATCTAGTAGTAAGGAGTGCAAATTGCAACCAACTGAACCTTCTTACAGTAAGAACTCCTTCAGTGTTAAATGTTCAGGAGGTTTTTAACATGAGCTGAATTATCAAAAGCGGTCTCCTCCTCTCATAAACAAACAGAGCAGTTGATTTGAACCAGTAAAAACACTGAACAATGCAGTTTTATGTTAGAAATGAGTGTTTCTCCAACGCTGTTCAGCATGGTGGCGATAGGCCGCTATCCCAGGCCCTGCCCATAAGTGCTCACCTTTTTTCTCTGCTATCTTAAAGTCCAGATGTTCAGGAGGTTTTTATCAGGAGCCAAATTATCCACAGAGGTCTTTTCCTCAAAACAAACAGACCTTGTGATTTAAAGCAGAAAAAATAAAGCAGTTTAACCTTAAAAAAACATGTCATGGAGGGCCAATGCGAAAACACGCCTGGCCCTATCTGTCGCAAGTATCTGGCTCATCCATTCTTAACTATTGTGGAAACTTGGTGGTGCAACATGGTGGAATCTGAGGACGAGGACCTGCTCCCTATGTAGATTCATTCTAAGGTATCGAAAACACTGATTCTTATTTTCAGGTGATATACACCAAAGAAAACATACTTATTGTATGATTCAATATCTGTCAATATATCCCCCTAAATCGCACACACTGGGCCTTTAAGGCGAGAGAGGAAAGCTTGCAGAAAATAACCAATTATATATCTGTTTATCTCTTTCGTGACAGCTGCACATTTTACAGCTCAACTTCAAACTTGATGCAGCTGATAGAAACTTTGCATGTGGTTCATGCAGTGAGAGGGCCTTGAGGACTTCTGGCAGTCAGTGCAGGACTGATGGGTTGGAGGAGATTAGGAAGATTGAGGAGAGCTCTAAAATGCCTGACCCAGTGCTTCAGGAAAAGATTTGAGTGCTGATCTACCAGATGACGCAACAGGAGTGATGTGGAAAGAGAGGTTCTTGTCTGTGTCAGCAAAGCAGTGGTTTTCCTGAGATTTTCTGAGATGGGTGAACTGCTGTCCACAGAAGAGGGTTGTATGTGGCTTGTTTGAAATAAAAGTTCAATCACTTCCTTTGCCAAGAGCATTATTCACATAGCTGGACTACGCTAGCTGTGTGTATTATTTTACATACTGGGACAGAACTGCAGAGACAGGCCTTGACTTGCTATTGGCTCATCTTCCATCAGTTCCCAGATTTTGATAGCAGCGTCATAGTAACAGTGCTGGTGACGTTACATTTCTGAGAAAAAATAAATTAAGTTTTCAGGAAGTGGGCTGCATTGTCAGTTGCATGTTCCAACTAAAAAATGACCATCAGGCCCATCCTGCTGCTTCCATGTAAGACAAGTCATATCTCTTCTTCATCTCCCTGTTCTGTCAGAGTGTCTGGGCACAATTTAATTGGAAGAAAGGGGCACACAATTCCTGCCAGGAGACTGTGAAATCAGGTGTATTTAGGCTAAAAGCAGCCCTTCGAACTTGCCATCAAAGAGCTTTTCAGCAGCATTTCTTTTGGGGTCATTTAATCATTAAAAGTTCACAACCCACATGAAGGTTATTTCTGTCAGTATGATCACTGTAAGGAGACAGACTGAAAGAGGCACTGTGGCTTTTTGTGTCTGTAATGATTGCGTCTCTTTGTATCACTGTATGCCTGTGAACAGGTTCGTAGTCTCATGTATCCCTAGTTGGTTCTGGGGGCCCATGGTGACCCTGGAGGACTGCCTCGCTGCCTTCTTTGCAGCAGATGAGCTCAAAGGTAAAGAGGACTACACTGTACTATTCTGCTATAATACTCTAAGTGGTCAAGTGTAGGCGAGAAAATGTATCTCAGGAATAACATTTACAATCATTCTTCCCACAGGGGACAACATGTACAGCTGTGAGAGATGTAAAAAGTGAGTATGTTCAGTAAATCCAGGTAGAGTCATTAATTAGAACTGGAGATGTTCTCCTCTTTAAAGGGACAGCTCACCCCAAAATCAAAAATACATATTTTATCTCTTGCCCTTGACACTGTTTATCAATCTAGATTGTTTTGGTGTGAGTCTGAATGTTGGAGATATCAGCTGTAGAGATGTCTGCCTTCTCTCAAACATAACGGAACTAGACAGCATTCGGCTTGTGGTGCTCAAAGTGTCAATAAAAAAAATGCATTTGAAAAACTCAACAGCAATGTCTCTCTCCAGAAATCCTGATCCGGTTACTAGGATGCCTGCACCTTCTCATGTGCGAGAGGCTTGTGCTCTAGCAGCATGAGATGTAAATATTAATGGCATCCTCCGTGACTGAGCTGTACCATTAGCTAAATCAGTGGTGCTAGGTTAGCTAGCAGTAGATACACGCTTCCTTTGTGCTGTGATACGGTAAGCAGGTGTAGTTCGGTAGAAAGAAAATAGTTCCTACATGCAACTGCTCACATCAGTGTCTGTGGATTATGTTGAGTAAGTGGTCATAATTTCTGGAGGTATCAAAGACAGAAAGAAAGAAGTATTAACTGTTGAGTTTTCCAGATGTACATTTTTGGTGCTCTGAGCACCACAAGCCAAGTACCATCTAGTTCCAATATATTTGAGAAAAGGCAGACATCTCTACGACCAATATCTCTAACACTCAGCAACTCACACCAAAACAGTCTAGACTGGTAAATAGCACTACAGGTAAGAGGAATAATATGTACTGTCCCTGTCCCTTTAATGCATCAGAACATCAATTTAAACAAGGGTATTTTTCATTTTTTTCACAGTGTTTTGTTTTCTACAGGTTGAGAAATGGTGTCAAATATTGCAAAGTACTTAGACTTCCAGAGGTACATGTTTTTTTTAAATTTTTTTTATCTGATATCCGTCTTGCTGCAGATAACAAGCTTAGTCACGCTCGTGGTTTGCTTCATAAAGTGCTGTGTGTTTGTGTAGATTCTGTGCATTCACCTGAAACGCTTCCGGCACGAGGTCATGTATTCGTTCAAGATTAGCAGCCATGTGTCCTTCCCGTTGGAGGGCCTCGACATGCGACCTTTCCTGGCTAAAGAGAGTCCATCCCAGGTCACCGCTTACGACCTGCTGTCAGTCATTTGTCACCATGGCACTGCAGGAAGTATGAGATAATTTAATTTCCCTCAGATAAGTGGCACAAACGATATTAGAAATAAACATGCCTGCTTTATCTTCTCCCCCTTATCTATGTAGGGTAATCATCTTTCTTTCTTACTTCTTTTCTTCTTCTTCTTTTTTCTTCCCTTCTCTTCTGTGCTGCAGGTGGACACTACATAGCTTACTGTCAGAATGTGATCAATGGCCAGTGGTATGAGTTTGATGACCAGTATGTCACAGAGGTCCATGAGACGGTGGTGCAGAACGCAGAGGCCTATGTGTTGTTCTATAGGTAAGCATTTAAAGACCTCGTAACGTGAAGCATTTATGCTGAGTCTATTAATTCAAAATGTTGCTAATGACTGCCCCCCCCCCCATACTTGTGCAGAAAAAGTAGTGAGGAGTCTGTGAGAGAGAGGCAGAAGGTGGTGGCCCTCGCCAACATGAAGGAGCCCAGCCTGCTGCAGTTTTACATCTCCAGAGAATGGCTGAACAAGTTCAACACCTTTGCCGAACCAGGCCCCATCAGCAACCACACATTTCTTTGCCAACATGGAGGTGTGCACTTAAATCTTAACCTGATGAACATCTTGTCACACTGAGAAAACATATACATGCTTCTCTAAAGGGGAACCAAATCGGCCTTACTGAGATTTTAAAGAAAAGATGCTGTTGAGTTGCATTATGTGATTGAAGACTGACTAGCAAGTCAGTGCATTTGTCTCCCTGAATTTCCAAAAACCTGTTCCCACCATCTCCACACAGATCTCTCTGGCCATATTATTCAGCTGTTAAAAAATGCAGGGTGGTGGTGTGGGGAGGTTTCTGGCCCCTCAAGACGTTTCAGCTCTTAAAACAAATAATTCTTGTTCTTGTTAAACTGGATGTTCCTTTTAGTTTCATGACACTTGGCTCGTAGATACGTCTTAATTGGAAAAACATGGCTTTATTACTTTTGTGAGTTACAGGCCATCATTGTTCAAGAGGTCAACAGGGATAAGGTTGGGGAATTTTGTGTAGGTGGAGAAAAATCTACCACAGTCACAGGCCAGAAAAGGGGAACAGATATCTCCTTTAACTTTTACATGTTTTATCTTTGCACAGGGATCCCTCCTAATAAATACCACTACATAGATGACCTGGTTGTGATTGTTCCTCAGAATGTGTGGGAGTACCTTTACAACAGGTAAATATGCAACATACTACCGTTTTCACGTTGTTCCTCTATATTATATGGGTCAAATGGCTACGTGTAATGTTAAACAAGTCATTTGTAGTGACCACCAACTGTGCAGCTCCCCTCAGCCCTACAGTGTGTTCAGCTCAGTCTCACTGATCTCATCAACACCTTCTACAGGCAGCTGTTTTTGCACAAAAGAAAAAACACGAATAACAAAAAAATGCATCTTAATTAGTCAGTGTCAATGCAACAAAGGCCCGTTTTGAATTTCACTGAATGAATTGCATTTGGATGCACACATTCACTTACAGCAATCTGTCACTACATAAATGTTGGTGTTTCTGTGTCCAGTTTTGGAGGTGGCCCAGCGGTGAACCACCTGTATATGTGTGCCATCTGCCAGGTGGAGATTGAGGCTCTGGCTAAGCGCAGAAAAATGGAAATAGACACCTTCATAAAGGTAAAAGCGTGCATTCTGTGAGGGTTTACCTGTGCAGGGATATGTCTCTGTGTTGGATGTTGACCGAGCAGTTTTCTCTCGTCTGTAGCTGAATAAAGAGTTTCAGGCTGAAGAGGCTCCGACGGTGATCCTGTGCATCAGCATGCAGTGGTTCCGAGAGTGGGAGAGCTTTGTGAAGGGCAAAGACAACGGTACAACCCTGCGATTAGACAAACACAGTAGTGCATTAGAGTTCTTTGTCTTTACAAAAATGTTTTCATGATTTGTTTCCTCAGAGCCACCTGGTCCCATCGACAACAGTAAAATTGGTGTTATGAAAGGAGGACACATACAACTGAAGCAAGGTAAACCTCAGCACTGGTTGTAAAGGTGGTAATGAGAAAAACAGACATGTCAGTAAACCGCCTTTTATGTGTGTTTCTCCCCCTCAGGCGCAGACTATGGTCAGATCTCAGAGGAGACGTGGCAGTACTTGTTGGGTATTTATAGCGGAGGCCCTGAGATCGCAGTGAGACAGACTGTGGCCCCGGCTGACCCCGACAGCCTTCATGGAGAGAGGAAGATCGAGGCAGAAACCAGAGCACTTTGAGATAAAAAGAGGTTGGAATGTTTACTTATTGGGAAACACTGTAAGATAACTGTAAATCCTCATAAGACCTCACACTCCCTTTCATATACACAGACTTACATACAATCACGTGTTTAAATATACTCTTGGATAATGTGTGACATTTTACTGGTAGCGGTGATCGTGGAGCTGGTCTTGGAACAAGCACGTTTTCCACCCACTTTGCTTACTCAACCACATGAGCTCATAAATTCCTTCTGGCCAGCAGAGAGTAAGATAGCCGCACACGTGGCCAAGAATAATGGAGGCAGCACATTGAGCAAATAAACAGCTGTAAATCCAATCTGGACTGTTTGAGCTGAGGGCCCATTATGAGTCTGTTTGTTCTCAACTTGTTTTTTATGTTCCCCAGGTCTTCTGATTCCCCCCTTTCCACTCCTGCCCTCGCAGGAAGCTGAGGAATTTGCACCTTGGTGAAGAAGCCTTGTTGTGAGCACTTTGTAAATGTAGCAACGTATTATTCTGAAGCCGTGACGCGAGAGGGTGAAACGGTACTTAAATATCACATAGTTTATTTATTGGATAACTCTGATCCTCAATGTTAAGGTGTAAACAAAAAAAAAAAAAAATAATAAGACGTCGTGTCACATCTCTGGAGCTGTTTTTGGTAGCTATGGTGTTTCAGTGGCTGCTGTAGTGACTAGGTGTCAGATACTGCTTTAGTGGCAGACAGCTGCTGGTGTCGGGAACCAGCCTGCTGAAGAGGACAGAACTACGGTGTGATGTTTGCTTTGAGGACTGCACTTTTCTTCTTCGTTGAAAGCAACAACCAAGAGATGTTAACAAGCTTTCTGTTTGCCTGTTTACTAGTTACATAGCAACAAGTTCAGACATCAAAGTGAGAGATATTACATAAATCATACTCTTGCACCTCCAACCTTAAACACACAGGATAACTGAGCCCTCAGGAATGAAGTCTTTGGTTTGTTAAAGCCAGTGAAATGATCAGATTAACAAACTTTAAAGAAAACACCAAAGCAGGTTTGTGTCACACCACAGAACATGCATGTGTTCCTCAACGACCATTTTCAGGGTGGGTTTGCAAAGCTTCAAAATGCATGTTACTGCTCCTCCTTTATTTGGACCTGTAAGGCCATTTCACTGACAGGATGAGGTGTCGAGTTTGTTCGCTCAAATGCAAAATAAAATCTTTTCTGTCTTTAAAACGATGGAAATATTGAGTCGCTCCTGTCTACAAATAGGCACATGGGCATAAAGATATAAAGACATGGCAAAGTTCGGAAAAGTCAAACTAACTTAAGTTAAATATGGCAGGAGTTATGTAAGTAGAAGAGTATATATCTGGTGCAATAGCTGTACATTTTCCAAAGAAAGAGGATGTTGTGCAACAAAACATCAACTGTCTTCTCTAATGACAGCATACAAAGTAAGCTTGTAATTCCTCTGAAACAGTTGTCATACAGTTAGTTCTAGTCATTAAGTGACTAATAATGCAGTACCTGTTTTAACAGAGAGGGCAGTATTTTCACCATGTAATAATTTAGCAGAGAAGTAGAAATCTGACATCACAAATAATGAGCACAACATGCACAAATCCAAGACAGCAGTAAAGTAATTTATGATAACTATTTGATTTTTTTATTTAGTCATAATGTCTTAATTGTGCACGTTTCGCCATCAGAAAAATGAAGCTGTACCCCCCATAAGGTTAGGGATATCAAACTATGCGTTATTTACTTGTAAAAAATATTTGTGCATCTGCAAATTTCATTTCTGTTGAAGAGGCATTTTAGATTTGTACGCAAAGATACAGATCTTCACTGATTGAGACGCTTGTTTACTCAAATTATAATCTGCTCCACCCACACAGGAAGCCATTGATCAAAATGTTCCCCTAACCGCAATGCTTTGTTTCGAGAAAAAATGATTCAGATCTTGAGGTTTTCTCATCTTTTAATATCTTCTGATCAGAGATCAGACTGGTAAACAAGGGTGTTTTCTGCAATATAACAACATTTTAAAACAACTCCTAAAGAGCAGCCAATATGCACAGTTGCTCATTTTTGATGGCTGTTACTAAGTTTTAATCTGAAATATTCAAAGTAACATTGCATATTGTGTAGATTTTTTTTCCGTTACAGCATTAGTCAATGCAAGATTAAGGTGCCAGGGTTACATCTGTAAAAAATGGGTCAGTGAGTCAGTTAAAGCTCAGCAAGATAAAACACTTCCTCCTTTATGTTATTGTAGATAAATCACATGCCTGCCTTTTTTAATGTAGGCTACAGATCTGCAAAGACAAAGTTTGCCACCACATTTAAAGCAGATGACGCCTAGCATTGCATAACAAGACTGTTGAGTGTAACAGCTTTTCTGTTATTTATTAATGTTAATAATAAATACTATTTTTGAAGGCCCAGACTAGAAAAATTAAATTATTATTTTTTTCTGTTAAAGAAGCTGTATGCGACATTCAGAGCGTATCTATGATTGAGAGTCCGAGCTGGGCTTGTCTGCACATGGCTTTCAACATGGAGGTGGTTGAGCAGGCAGCTAGCAGCTAAAGGTGCTAACAATGAGAATGCATTATCAGAGGTAATTGTTGTATGAGCACATTGCAGTGGGGACGATAAGCTAGTCAGTGGGTTACACGCACAGGGTCTCACATGCACTGAAATGCACAGGCTGCCAGCACAGCTACCACAACAACAACAACAGAGAACCTCAGATAACAACACACACAGAGGAAGCGTGACTGCATTCTCTGCTCAGGACGCCATTACTCCACTATATCTTTACATAGCAAATAGCAGTTTGCTGCTATATTAATACTCTGAATGTTGCATACAGTGCCTTTAAGTTGAATAATTATTTTTAATAGCACAATTATTTAAACTATATTAAAAATGGCAAGATAGTATTAAATAAAAAAAATTTGAAGTTACAGTTGATTTACATTTACAGTTTTATGGTAAAATCCTGTTACATGTCATGTTACATAAAGCACCAATTCACCAGTAAGTTGTTTTAAAATCTTTTCCATTATCATCAATCTTTAAAGTAGTAATTATAATTATTAGACTTTTGCAGAAAAACATCCATAAGTTGGAGATCCACTCGGATAAATACTGCTATTTACCAGTCTAAACGGCCACAAGACGTATCAGTAAATACAAATGAGTGACAGCCCAGCATCTTGAAGCCTGTTTGACTGTAACTTTTAATGCCAAATGACTGCAAAGAAGAATGAATACTGATTTTAATCTTTAGCTGCGGCGCAGTATTCACATAGAGATACAGTAGTTCAAACCTTTTGCTGTTCCTTTTTTTGACACCTTTTTTGTAGCAGCACTCAAACTATGAGATCTGGTAAAGATAAAAGCTAATTATGAGCTGAAATGTAAAGAATATAGTAGTGTTATAATTTATGATGCAGCACAGTCATCCTACCTTGAAATACAGTGCCTTCAAGCCCCTTCACACCCACAATGCACGTGCACAGGTGTTTTTACATATTTTTGCCTGAATATGACTGTGTGAGCATATACAGACATTAAGCATTTGAAGTTAAGTTCATGGTGTTTGTTGACCTCGAAATTCCCTGCATCGCTCTGCTCAGCTGTAACCTGAGCCAATCTTGCATTGACATCAGCCAGGATGTGTAAAAAACAGCTGTGTGGGTGTTAAAGGGTGACCGTAAACTTTCTATCTACCTTGGCTTTGGAAAGGTCTCGTTAGCGGTGTACTATTAGATCTCCCAGCTGTATTTCACTGTAAGATCAATCAAAAGAGGTGACCGTGATCTCAAAAAATGAAATTCAAATACATGACACAAGATACAGTGTGGGGAGGGGGAGTGACGTATAAATGTGTATGAACTAAGAAGGGTATTCAGAGTGCCCATTGATTAAAAAATGTTAAAGTTTCTCTCCCGGCACTGATTTAACCCCTAAAAACTCATCTCTGTTCATCAAAATCTCATATTTAAAATCCTTTTATACCTTGAAATGGTGATCATATAACTATACATCTTTACCTGACTTAGTATGCGTGGATTGATAAATATGCAAATTAGCCCGCTCCCCAGACGCTCACCTGCAGCAGCGCATCCATCCACCTTCGATTCTGTTCATCAAACAAACAAACCTCTGCTTGTAAACTGTATTAGATAACGTGAGCCTTTAGCTTGACCATGTTATCGGCTAATAATGTGTTGCTAATGTTGTAAACTTTTTCCCAACTGCCCTGACGAGTTGAACTCCCGCCTTTCGCTGTACATTATGGGATTGGTCTCTAAGGTTTGTGATGACACAAACTGTCATTGGTACACTGCAGTTCCAAGGTGAAAATGCTCACCCATGGCACTGACTGCTTATTTTGCTCATGATATATGTCTTGTAGCACATAAAAAAAACACCATATGGACAGATTAACAAGGTTAAAAACTTGATATTCAGTGGAGGGGGTCTTTCAAGGTATAGTTTGTCATTTCGGGCTTTCTGGCCGAGAGTCAGATGAGAAGACTGATGATGATTTTCTCATTGAACTTGATTTCAGACTATTCCTTTAAAGATGTAAAATAAGTTGTTAACATACATAAAACAAAGCTTGGCCTCAAAATGATGCATCACTTAGATTCAAAGTTAGTTTTCTTAGTTAGCTAAAACTAGAAAAACTTAGAGAATTCAGGAAAAACAAGACAGACTTGTGATACAATCTAACAAAGATCCAACAATTTCAAAAAGCTCAACAGAGGTATCTGTCCAACAAGACACGAAGATGGTTACTCAGAATACCCAAGATGACTTAAAAGACTCACTACAGATATTTTGACTTGGCGTAGCAGGAAAAGCAGGTGTATCTTATACCATTAACAATCATCCAATATTCTGTTTAAAGGCTCAGTTTGCAATTCAGGTGAAAGAAAGTTTATTGTTGAGTCTCATTCCCAGGTCATCAAATACAAATACTTTGGGTTGGTGGTGTCAGTATTTACAGACTTTGGCGATAAATATAAGCCCCGTGCTCTGTTTTTTGGTCCCTACCAACTCCCAAGGGAAATATCTGGCTCTTTAGCTGCTAAATGCCCCACTATGTTTAACAGCTAGTTGCTAATTGTGCCCATCTGCAGTGGGTTTTTAGTGAAGTTGTGGGCAGGGCAGCAAACCAATAAGCTGAAACTCACTAATAACCTCTGGAAAGCTGATAATCATCGCAACCACTTTCAAGTTGTCATTTGATGCACTGCTATCAAAAAGACATCAATTATAGCCATCTTACATTTGAAGCTAACAGTCGTGATACAGCCTAGCTATTGTCACTGTCATGGCTAACATTAACAAAAGCTGCAGTTCCTTGAATGACCACTTGAGGCTGGCTACAGAGGTGAAAACGGGGATGGATTTTTATACAACTCACCCTGTTACATTTATTAAGGCTTCAAGTTATGCATAATGAAGGGCGGGGCTGCTTTGAGTGACAGGCTGTCCATAAGATAAGACAGCTCCAGCCTCCCGTCCAAATATGGTCACCTCTGGCTCCAAAAAACCAAGACGGTGACTGCCGAAATGCCAAACTCAAGGCTTTAAAGCAGGAGTCCACAAACCAATGGGTGACATCATGTTGGCTACATCCATTATTTTATATAGCCTATAACATTAACCTAGCAAGTAAACAAACCATCTTACAGTTTCCCAACACTCTCAGATGAGGACACTGAATACATGGTGGTAACAGAACCTATATCAGTGGTTACGGCTCAGTGTCATCATACCTGCCTGAATGGGGCCTGAAAAAAATACTTAACAGAAATCAGCAATCATTAATATTTTTAATTTCAGTTGAATTATTCCTGCCATGACATGTCAAACATCACCTCTGTCTATGAACTTTCTTCCAGACCATGGCCTAAAGCAATCCATGTCTCTGTTTAGTTTGTTGATGTGCCCAAAGAGCAATTTACCATTTTTAACAGCAGAGGACACTGATCTGCCCATTTGTCAAAACAGTTTTGTAGTACTTTTCCTTTTTACACATGTTCAGTCTAGCAAGAGATGATATCAAAACTAGGGGAATGTGTGTGTGCTATGTTGAGATACTTATTGGGGAGTTTGTGCAATTAAAAAAAAAAAAAAAAAAAGGCAAATCTTTGTGCAATCTTATCATCAGAGAGACACTGGGCAGCTATCAAACAGAGCAGTTTGAGCAGCTGACAGTAAAAGACTGAGGCACTGCAGCTTATTATATTGCAGTGTTAAGACGTGCCATGTGGTAATTACTCAATTATCCCCACCTGTGAGTTTGCCTCTGTTACAGCACGTAGCCATGCGTGTGAGATTTCCATTTCACTGGTAAATACAAGCATTCCTGTGGTTGGACGGAGTTCATCAGTATTATCATGACACCCTGGAGACGGCACAACAGGATTTCACTGACTTATGTTTTCCCCTCATTTTACAGTGTGGCTGTTGTGGTCATGATAATGGTGATGCCTGATAACATGGGACTTAAGTGGTTGACCTCAATTCAATGGGATGTCTTAATGTCTGTATAACTGATGTAATTATTCATGTCTGGTTAAATGATTAAAACTGCCTGGTCTTTGATTTGATTTGTGGTTTCTTTGCTGTTATATTTATATATAAAAAACAGCCAGCACTGAAAATGGAAGAAAACTGGAACTATTGTTTCTGGATAAATATTTTAAACCACATCGAGTTGTTTTTTTAAGTGAGAAAACGGATCTGTTTGTTGAAGGCGCTTTGTCAAGCCTGAGAAGAAATACCCTGGTGATGTCATCAGGGTTATCTCAGCTTAGAGACTTCACTGTTATACCAGAAAGCCTGCATTACAACCCAGAGCCATGGAGTTTCAAAGAATAGTTTTTACCTTATGGTAAAGTTGCTTAATTACTTTCTTGTTGAGATTTAGATGAGATGATTGAAACTACTGTCATATTTGTGGGTTAATGAAATATGAAGCTATAGCCAGGAGACAGTTAGCTTAGCTCAGCATAGCATAAAGACCGGAAACATAGGGAAACAGCTAGCACGATTGTGTTCAAAGGTATAACACACACACAATTTGGCTTGTTGCAGACTGGCCGCTAGCCCAGAACCTGCTAATGTGTGCTCACCTTTTTTTTTATAAATGAATGTGAGCTCACCTTTTTTCTAATCCAGATGTTTTTATCAAGAGCCAAATTATCCAGAGGTCTCCTCCTCTTCGAAAACAAAACACAACCAGTGATTTAAACCTGTAAAAGCACAGAATGAAAAAGGTTTCACATTATAAATCAGTGTTTTTCCTGCGCTGTTTGGCCCGTGCCCAGCACATGCTAATGTGTGCTCACCTATTATCTCTGATAAGATCCAGACATTAAGGAGGTTTTTACTTGGAGCTAAATTATCTGCAGAGGTTTCTTCCCTCTCCAAAAGAAATAGACCTGGTGATTTAAACCTTTAAAAACACAGAATAAAGCAGTTTTAGGTTAAAAAAAAGTGTTTTCTGACATTGCACTTCGCTAAAGGGCCCATCTAGAGCCAGTGTTTATTCTGTTTCATTTTTGCCAGTATATACCCCTAAATCCTAAACACTGGACCTTTAAACCTGTACAAAAACTGACAGACCTTACTTACTCAGACAGAGCTAGGCTAGCTGTTTCCCCTTGTTTCCAGTCTTTATGCTAAGCTAAACTAGCAGGCTGCTGACTCCAGCTCCATATTAAGCATGCAGACATGAGAGTGGTATCAATGTTTTTAACTAACTCTCTTTAAAAGGGTGAATAAGTTAAGCTCTCTAAATGTCAATCTATTCCTTAAAACGACATGAGAATATACCTTTACAAGGAGGGCCTTTCTCAAAGACACTTCTGACTGCATTGTAAGAAAAGACAGGACATCTTGTCCTCAGCTGTAAAGATGTGACCAGTCTTTACAAATCTGTCTCTTGTGATTCCTGTTGATGTGTGTAAAGCCACCTCTTTAGATTAGATACACAAATAAATATGTCCAGATAAATTAACACACGCATATTAAAATGAGTCATCTCTTCCTAGGGCACACTGTCTGGGATTATGTCCATTTCGGCTTCATCACTACTCATCTAGAGTAAAGCTTTGATAAATAGGTATTTTTTTAAGGATGAGGCAAATAAACTGGTTGTTTTGTTCTACTGTTTATGTAACTCAGAGAGAAAATATGGTTACATGTGAGACACAGAGTGAGAGGGCTTACCTGTTTCAATTTAAGAAAGAGGGGGCAACTCTCAAGTGAGCAGCTGTGATGTCATCTCAAGTCCCATACGTATGCTGAGCTGTATCCAGCCCAGACAGAGGCAGACCAAGAGCAAAACACACCGGGCTGATGCAAGGATATGATGCACACACTGAGCCTTCTTGAGGACGGGAGAGCTGACAGGCTGTTCAGGTAAGAGACAAAAAACAACACAAAAACTGGCTTAGAGGACATGAATGCAGCTGCAGCATCGGTCCACATCACACTGCCTAAAACACTGGCATGTTTCCTGCACTGCGTGCATGTCATCAATGCTGGGATACTTACTGGGATGTATTTCATGACACACCGGATTTACCGATGAATAATTAAACATCCCATAGCAGTAGTTGTACAGGCCATTGGATATTAAATCAGCAGATCACAATACAGCGAGAATCCAGGACAGCAGGGGAGGCTGGCTTCCAGAGGGTTGCCCCTTCTGTGTCCATTCACTGGGATGGGATGGGTGTGGCGAGTAGCAGCAGACCACTTGTCCTTTCCATCCTCATCATTAATGCCATTTTTTTCATACTGTTGCTAATTCACTCTCTGTGCACCAGCCAGCTTTGCATGCTGAAGGTCAGACTATAGATTTAGGAGGGCAGGTTGGGATCTGCATTAATGAAGTGGAATAATTACCAGTTATGCATGGAAATATCTGTGTCAGGGAAAAAATGAGCTGCATAGATCCTCCTGTAGCTCTGTGACGGCTCTGAATCTGCTGACTAACTGTATGAAGTACAAAGTATAAACAGCTGTTCATCTCACGGAAGCATTGGTGTAACGTTATTTGCAAAAATAACTCTTGTGGAAATGATCTGTGTCTGTTGCTACAGCTGTCAGAACAAACTGGATTCGGCTAAGGTTGTATATACATTTTTAATACTCCAGATTATGAACACTTGAGTTGTTACCCCATTTTATCTAAGAGTATGCACTGGTTACCCCTCTTCAACTGTGCTCACAGCACTCCAGATGTTTGCTACAAGAGTCTTAAATCAGTGCTGACTAGCAGGGGTGTAGCACCAAATTCTGTGCTCTGTGGCCCCCAGCCCTTCCTCTTCCATCTATCAGTTTTTGCACTAATTTAAAAATAATTTTTCTTGTCTTTGAAGCTCTTCCTCATGGTCTTGCACCAGCCTGTTTGACATGTTTCGACATGTTTTGCAATGAATGATCTTTATGTAAAGCTTTCAGTTTCAAATTACAGAACACATTTTTTTTGTGTGAGGCAGCTTTTAGTTGTCGTGCTTTAAGCAGTTGAAACATTCTGCCTCAAGGACCTGAGAGCAGCCCTTAAACTAGTAATCCAATTTTTCAGCCTGGCTCTCATTAGCATGTTTTTAGATGTTTTTTATGCCTTATGTGCACGCTGTCTACATTTGTCTCATAATGAACTTGGGGCCCTTTAACTTGTCTTGAAAACTGACACTGGAGTGTCATATATTAAAAAGGAACTACACATGTTGTTCTTATGGTCAAAGACAGTCCAAATATATTCGTAAACATGAATAACTCTCTCCCAAATCTAAAACTAGAGTGCTAAAACTCATTTTGTGATTTCATAGGGTACAATATGAAGTCTGGAGCTGCTCCATACATTCTGTGGATTCACAAAATCAGGCTTCCATTCACTGGAGCAGCTCCATACTTTATACCCTATGACATCAACAGTTTGAGACCTCTCTGGTTTCATGCTTTGAGAGAGAGTATCTTATGTTTCCAAATATTGATTGAACATTCCTCTGCCACAGGCCTAACATATAGGAATTCTTAATTTAGATGGTGTTCACCTTTAATCTGCTACTAACTATCCTCCCTCCATTTCTTTCCACAGGGATACATGAGATCTTATGTGACAGCCATGCTTCGTCAAGCTGAAGTAAGGATAACAAACATGACACAGGGAGCATTTCATTTATCAGAGCTCCAGTATGAGCAGACTCTGTGGTGATCCTGTGCCCAACTATAGTAAAAATCAAAGTGCTGCAGCACCGTCAGAGGAGCAAGTCACCACAAAGAAATCCTAAGAGAAGCGTCGCTGGACAGACTGTAGCGCAGTGATTCAGCTCCTCTCTCTGGGAACCCTCTCTCTGTGTTTTTTTCTGCAAAGGCAACCGCTGTAAATATTTACATGCCGTGTCTGGCAGCTCTTAGAGACGAAGAACACCTTGAGAATAATGACTCTGTGACCCTTTAACTCATGATAACCCTTGTCGGGCCCTGCAGGCAGGGCTGGATGGGAGACTTGTGGTTTTTCGGGTGCTGAAAACAGGAGGGAACTGGATCAGTAGCTCCACTAATTGTTTTGCGGTACTTTGTGCCGTGCCTCCCTTTCCCTGCTTGTTGTGGTTTTTTTTCCATTGCAAGCCTTTTTACAGGAGAGAACACAGATACACACATTCCAGGGAAACAGCCTGCATGTATTTCGCTACACATGCCAATTCATTGCCACATACCTGAATGTTTGCAAATTATAATGATCAAACATCTCGTCTTGTTTTTCTATTTAGTTGGCATTTATGGAAAATACATGCGTATATAATTTATAATTATTGCAGTAATTTTGCATGCATATTATTTAGTATATTGTACAATACCTTGAAAATCCACTGGACTGTTAGATGTGGGTAAAAATTTAAGTTCTCAGTACATGTAAATATGTTATAAATTGTGTAAAAATGCAAAACATATTAGTGAAGGTGGTGAATTAGTGTGGATGAGTGTGTATACTGACGCCTTCACACCTGTATCTCCTGATCTGTTTGCACACACATACACACATCATGGGCTGTGCCATGTGTTCCCAGCTGGTTGACATGTGGACTGTGAGGGCGAGCAGGACGGGCCGCAGGGCCATGGAGCTCACCGCCTACCCACAGATGCTCCAGGGAGGCTACCACAGAGTGACGGGCCTCCACTACATGTCCTCCTTCTCTGACGCTGAGGACTGTTGTGATGACAGCAGCTCAGGCAGCTCTCTCACCTTGGACTGGCAGACACAGGGCACCGATGGCTGACATACAACCTAAAGCTGTTATACTATCAATAAAACAAAACAAACATGATGACATACAAAGGAAATGTGGTGTATTTGCAATAAATGTGATTGGAGTTGAAGAGAAATATGATGTGAGTGATGTTTGTTTTCATAGTTTCCTCTTTATTTGATTAAGTTTTTTTGTTGTTGATAAAGTGGTTTTCCAAATGAGCTTTGTTGCCTTTCTGTTTTCATCAAGAACGGATACATGTAAGAGCATTTTAATGTTGTAGGTTTGTCCACTTTTAGATACTTCTTACTACTACTGGGTAGATTAATAGTATGGTAC